CTCTGGCACATAAAGAGTTGTTTTCAAGTATTTACATTTTTTTGCCTGCAGGGAGGCTCCAGAGCAAGCAGATATCATACAGTATGACTTATTCTCTATGGAATTTCTTTTAGGCTCCTGCAATACGGTTTTTTTCAATGCTCTGCACACTAAGATCACATGGAGGCATGGCATTTGATATATGCTGATATCAACCAAATTTATTTCTTGCAGATCAGTATGGAAAATAATGAGGAGCCATGTCTCTGACTATGGAGATAGGGATTTCGATAAGAATTTGCTTTTCCTTTAGGTTTTCCAGTCCTTAAGTTGCTAGAATACCTGTTCGTTTCACTGAATTATACTAAACTTTGTTAGTAACTGTAATTATAGACAATAAACACTTTTGTTTAATAGTTTTAATAAAAAAGTGCTAATATCACCAGCTACAGTGCTGAGTTTGTCTATTGCATAGAACAACTTTCTATGAGAAACAGTGGAATCTTCCCTGTGTATCATGCAAACCTGATTTTAAAATTTGTCTTGGTAGTAGATTACATTTCATACTTATACAATGCATTTATTATTGTTGTTGATGGCGAGATGATGTTTCCAAGAACATTTTCAAACCAGGATGAGTCTGCATAGGAAGATAGGTAGGCAAGATTATATTGGTTTTAAGTAGCTTCCATGCAATCTTTGAGACAGAACATTACAAGGAACTGACTGTATGAAAAAAAAAAAACCTTGATACACCACTGTAGTAGAATGATGTGTGAGGATAAATATGATGTACGTTAAATAAATATATAATCAGGAAAATTCTGTCTCTTCTGCTCCACTCACTCCCCTTCCTGTTCATTGATTTTTATTGTCATAATATTTTAGAATGAAAAGTAAGAATATATGATTGGTAATTTGTTACAGAGGTACATTGATGCTCGTCAATATACAACAGATATAGGAGACACGACAAGTACTAAAAATGATAAGTACCAAACAAACAGTGTGATTTATCACCTGAACCTTTGTTTTGGTTGGGAAGGACTTCCCATCTGTCTTTTTTCCTATGTCAACAACCTTCCCAGCATGGCCAACTACCTGTCTGCCCTTTGTGATCATTCCCCACTTCCTTTTGCAGTGACCTTCCTGGCATGGCTGACTTTGTATCTGTCCCCCTCTTCCTATTGTAGCACTTTAAGTACCAAACAAGTGACAAGTACTGGGGCAACTTTTTCATATCAAAATGTGCTGAATACCAAATTTGATGAGTTTTGAAACAATAGAGTACCGAGGTGCCACTGTATTTCTCTATGTTGTCATTAACAATCTATAAGATTATTAAAAAATACTATTATCCATAATTATCTCTTTGAACTAATTAAAATTATGAACTTTTTAAAATTCATTTATTTATTTTATTTTAATTTCTGTACTTTTGAAGAAATTGTTGAAATTCGTTAACAATAATCCAATTTGTTTTATCCCGATAAAGGAAAAAAATGATATGAGCCTATCCCTTCACTTGCATTTTATCTTTAGTCTTACTTAAGGTGTTTGATATATCCAGCTTGAGAGGTCTAACACTTAAATGTTGCTCTACCATGTATGAATGCTCTACCACCTGGAAAGTTTAGATAAATAGGATCTTTATAGATTGATAGTCTGTAGTCCTTAAACAAGTACTGTCTATATGCAAGGTCAGAATAGTTTTAGGATGTTCCACAATAAAAGGTGCCTCTAAGTTATGAATCGCCTATTATCATATGTCACTTGGCTTCCAGTAAATAGGTATTTATAGGTATGAGCATTTTCTTTAGGTTTTTTTCCATTTGTAAATTATGCCAAAAATCATTAGGCAATGCAGACTGCTTATCATTCAGGAGACTCAGTTCATTTTAAAGAAAAAAAAACATAGCCTTAGTTTCTATTGCATGCTCCTTTGACACCAAAATATTCAGTGAAGAAGGGGCTTTTGGCGGGGGACACCCGTTTTAGTACCCCCCCTTTTTTAAAAAAGACACATTTCTATATGTCATTCTCCTTTATGAGCACATTCTTATACAGAATTACTGAAGCAAGAACTGTACTCTGAATCAATTAAAAAGATTATGCTGTTATTCTGCTTGGTGTACAGTAATGGAGGATGTTAGGTTTGTTTATTTGAAGATGTGGACAAAGCAATGCACTCTGATTTCCCTGTCAGCCCTGAATTTATTCCTGAAAATATATGTGCTGGAATAAGACTCCTTCTTTATATATGATTAGTCTGAGACAGACTCATAGTTCAAAATATACATGAAGGAGATGCTGTTTATTTTAAGAGATTACTGTTAAGGGTTAGTATAAAAAGAAATTAAGTCTCTTTTTGTTTTGCTTGCATCCTGGGCACCCACTTAAGCAAGGTTTGCTATGTTGCATTATTGATATGGAAATCTTGTATAATGTGTTACCATTATTTTTTAATAAAGCATTTCAGTGGGGCTTGCCTAATCCATGAGGCTTGGCAGAATCTTCTATGGAATTGCACAAAGGGCTGTGGAAGGAAGAGTTTGGAAAATTACATACAAGCTGTGTAATATTTTGAGAAAAGGAAAGAAAGAACCAAATCTTTTAAAAGGAAAGGCAATTGGAAATCAGCATTATCAAGTGCAGGCTTCTTTTTTGTATTTGCTTCGTCATATGAGTAGAAATAGATCTGATTATATTTTATTCTGATGTATTGAAAAAAGTCAATTTGACTTTTCATATATTGAAATGTATTTGGAGAAAATGTAATTTATTTAAGAAAATCTGGTGCTACAATTGACGTTTCAGAAGGGTGTAATCAATCTTGCCAATAAATTCACTAATAGTGATAATATATTTATTAGTGCATTCACCTTGAAATTAATAATTAATTTAGGACATTATTTCAATGCCTTAAAAGAACAAGTCAACTTCACATTACATAAACCTTTCCACAGGAAATTATTCTTTCTTGCTATCACAATACCTGTTTTTATGTTTTGTTCGGGTAAAGTACAGACACTATGAGTATATATTAAATAGGTTGGATGAAAAAAGTTATTTTTACCTGCAAATAATTTATATAATTTATTCAATGATTTAAAATAGGATTCAGCTGCCTTTAACGCTTAAAACCTTTAGGGGGATGTTTACATTATAAAATTCTGAACAGCACAAATGAATGAACTTGGTAAATATCTGTAGTAATAATATACAGTTCAGACAGAACTAAAATCTTACATGCAATTGTAGCTAAAAGCCAAGGATAGTCCAATAAAACTCAACAAAAATGTTCTTTACAACTGGTGGTCCTAATTAGACTATTATTCCATTTTATTAATGATCTTCCGTTACTAGACTATTCTAACAATGGTTACACATGTCTTTCATTGTATTTCATATTTAAGTGTAGACAATCATGGAGATGTATTTAAATTCAAAAATAGTAAGAAACCAACACTGTTTGGTTTGGTGGCAGCAGTGCCTCAGATAGAAAGTCCATATAGAGAATGGTAAGGACAGCAGAGAAGATTATACGAAGCTCACTTCCTGTCATTCAGGATACTGCTTATAAGCACTATGTGCTTAGAGCTCAAAGTATTGTTAAAGACCTCACACACCCACTTTTATGGTCTGTTTCTGTTGCTCCTCTCCAGGAGGAGGTTTCAAAGGATTTCTACCAGGACTCCCGGATTCTGTAACAGCCTTGTTCCCTATGCCAGTGTTTTTCAACCTTTTTTGTGCAAAGGCACACTTTTTTCATGAAAAAAATCACGAGGCACACCACCATTAGAAAATGTTAAAAAAAATTAACTCTGTGCCTATATTGACTATATATAAAGTGTTTTTCCCATGGCACACCTTATACTATGTCACGGCACCCTAGTGTGCCGCGGCACAGTGGTTGAAAAACACTGCCCTATGCCATCCATCTGGTAAACTCACAAGACTTGTTTTCCTCGCCATGTACATGTATACATTTGAAGTAGATTGTGTTGTTTCTCTGTGTCATATAATATGTGTCATACAGGGTATGCACATAATTTTGCATTTATTTATGTATTTATATATTCATTTATTCATTCTAATGGTTATTCAATTTACATTGGAGGTGGTGACCCTTTGAGAGCTGTATGCAACAAAATTTCATTTTCTTGTATGCCGATTAGTGTATTTTCAAATTGTCAACAAAGTTATTATTCTATTCTATTCAATGGTAGAAATAATATAATTTGTTCTCTTCGGGAGAAAAGAAACTAAGGACAAAAACACACCATTTACAAGCTCCCAGTTGGTGATTACATGGAACAAGAGGTCTGGCCTTTCACCCCTACTTTGTGGGGTTAAACAAGGTTCATGGGATGAGATATCAGTTTGCTGATGATAGATAGCTGTATATCTCAGCCCATGGTGAGTTCAGTGATGCTGTGACCTTGCAATGCCCGGAGGCTGTTAAGGCATGGATTGGGACAATGGGCCGAATATGAACCCTAGCAAGATGAAACGGTTCTGGGTTTGGGATTCTTTGGTTCATGGAAAATTAACATCGTTGGTCCTGGTTGAGGTTACATTACTTAGTGCATAATTTTGGGAGGGTTCTGCTGGAATCTCAAGTCAGATAAGATTGTCCCCCAACTTGATATTCTTTTGAAAAGCTCTGAGGACATGGTTTTGTCAACATGCCTGGGGATCACAGGCTGATTGATACCAAGCCCATCAAGTGTTTTTTCTGAATGTTGTAGAGGGATGGGAGTGTATTGGGTTTTGTATGTGGGGTGTCTTAACTTTGTAAGCTGCCTGGAGTCACCATGAATGAATTAAGAGGCCATATGAATCTTCTAAATAAATAAAGAGTAGAATTTGCTTATACTGTAGTTTAAATGATTTTTTTTCAGATTCAAATTCAGTATTGGTTCCTATATTTTTTGTTAGTATTTATAAATATAAGCAACTGTGGTACAGAATCATCTTAATACACATTGCTTACAAAAATATATTGTTTAATTTTCTAGATGAAGACTGTTAGTGTTGCCTTAGTACTGTGCCTGAATGTTGGGGTGGATCCTCCTGATGTGGTAAAAACAACTCCATGTGCTCGACTTGAATGCTGGATAGGTAAGCCCCTTTGAACATTATTTATCCATTTAAAACATTTGAATTACTTTGTCTTACATTGCCAGGTAAAGGTGACAATATATTCAGTGGAAATCTGTACTAAATAAAGATTGGAATAAATACTAGAACAAAAATGCATGTTGGCCTCTGTTTGTTAATTGGCTTATTTTTAACTTGCTGAAATGCAAATCTCATAAAAATAGTTTATTGTGCTTCTTAAAGAGATTTGTCCTCAGGCCTAGGTGAATATCCACAAGAATAATATTACAACACACACACACACACACACACACACACACCCTAAACAACCCTGTATTGCTTACAATTAACAGCCCCCCCCCCCGAAACATAAAAAAATACAACAGACCAGAAAAGGAAAATGCAAAAAGAAATAAAACAGATCATAACAAATAAAACAAAGAGGAATTAGATCCATAGTCATCGTGTCTCCAAGGCCACCAAGCAAAACAATCTTCAATAATTTCCTGAGCAACATAAGTAGGGCACAGATCTTTGGTGGTGGTGAGGGGGAATCATTGCAGAGAGCAGGAATTACAGTGGAGTAGGCTTCTGGATTCCACAAGATGGCATTCGTTAATTGACAGGATCTGGAATGCAACTACCATGTTGAACTGAATTGAATAGTAGAGGCACCGGGAATGCCCCCCCTCCCAAAGGGCCCATGCCATGAAGGGCTTTAACTGTGATCATAAGCACCTTGAATGGCACCTGTCATGTGGCAATCAGCAGAGTCATGTTCACATAACATTGTGCTCTGTCACTATCCATGCCACTGCATTCTGCATCATCTTTAGTTTTCAGTTGGTCTTCAAGGGCAGCCCCATGTAGCGTACATTGCAATAATCCAGTCATGAGGTGACCAGGTAGATGTGACCATTTGAAGTGCCGGGGCAAATAGGTCGAACCCGACCCCACCCATTGGCAGTCACCTGGCTCTTCTCTGAGGCCTGGGCGAGGATTTCTTCTGACGCCTGGGTAATCAGTACTGTCTCACACGGGCTTCGGCTAGAGTTCCTCTCCATCCCCCCCCCCCAACCACTTTCGCACATTTTCCCCAGCGCAAAATCTAGACAAATGCAGGTGGATGTGTCAGGCCATTAATCATCTGCTTGACATCGCCGTGATAGAACCAGTCCCCTCGGACCAGGTGGGCCGGGGGTTCTACTCAAATCTGTTCCTCGTGCCAAAACCTTCGGAGGTTGGAGAGCTATTCTCGACTTGAAGTTCTTGAACCAACATCTTGTGTACCGCAGCTTAAAGATTGCCTCACTTAAATCCATTCTAGCAGGCATATGGGAGGGGGATTACATGGCTTCTATAGACCTCACAGAGGCTTACCTCCATATTCCCATCCTCCCACTCCACAGGCAGTACCTACGGTTCTCCTATCTGGGCCGCCACTTCCAATACAGGGCCTTCCCTTTGGGTTATCCTCTGCACCTAGGTCATTCACCAAGGTATTGGCGGTGGTGGCAGCCTAACTAAGGGGCTTTCCCATTAGGTTGCATTGCTACCTGGATGACGTCCTCATCCAGGGGGCATCTCCGGGTCAGACGAGGGCGGGCCTCTGGCAGGTCGTGGACACCCTTCAAGGGCTTGGGTTCTCCGTCAACTTTGAAAAGAGTTCCCTCACCCCGTCAACTAGAATCCTCTATTTAGGGGCCATCATAGACTCCCGTGCAGGAAAGGTTTTTCTCTTCCCAGACCACAGGGCCAGTTTGGTTAAGATGATTAGGCAGGTCCATAGGGACCGTTATGTTCCCATAGCTCTTCTATCCAGCTTGTTGGGGAAACTCATATCCTGCATTGAGGTAGTACTGTGGGCATGGTTGCACGCCAGGACTCTGCAGTGACGACTCCTACCATTCCAGAGAGCCAACACCAGCAGCTCACTGACCAAGGTTGAGGCCACTCCTCATGTACTGATTTCCCTCAAGTGGTGGCTGTCTCCAGCCTTGCTCAAGGGGTGCGAGTTCAGGGACCAGGAGTGCCTCGTTTTCCAGGGCACTGCTCAGGAGAGTCCAAGCAAGGGTTAAATACAGCCAAACTGCACAGAACTGAATTGAAACTTTAACCCACGCCTCTGGTGCTGAATATCCCAATTTTTTCAATTCAGCTAACCCAGTAGGACACGCTTAGAGTTTCTCTTTATTTCTATTACTTATCTTGGACTCTCTTGAGCTTTTTATTGTGAGTATTACTTAGTTTAAAGTGTGAACAGGCTGAGTGAGTGTATTTAAGCTTTATTTCGTTCATTTATACTCTGGGCTCACTCTTCGTTCCTCCAGCGTCGGAATGCAGGCAGCTGCTGGGGCAAGCGCGCGGGTCGGAGTTCCGACGCCAGCGCTGTTGCGATCCCCTCTGGGGAGGGGGAAGCCCCGCTGAGGCTCTTGTGGTTGGCGTCTGTGCCTAGGGTAGCCGGCGTGCAGGTGCGGTGCCTCAGAGCTCCGGATTGCTTGGCGGCAACTTTTAAAGTAATTAATTCCTTTCCGGCTGCCATTTTGGAGCTATTTGCAGTTTCAGTTTCTACTTTAAACCTAGTGCCACAGCTGCCTGCAGCCTGATTCACAGCAGGAGCCGCGAGGAACCATTCTTTTTCCGGCCTGGCTGGCAATTTGGCGTGTTTCCCTTCCACCCGAACAGCAAGGATTGGGGCCGCTGGCCACAAGCCTTCATTCCTGCAGCACTGGAAGCTGTTAACGCTTACGCTTTATTCCAACTGCTGGATATTGGTGCTGTGACACACCCCCCCACGTCTCTTCAGAGCGTCTGTTGGTTTGCAGGGCTTTTGCAAGGTGGTAAGTGGAGGTAGCCACTCATTTGGCCCACCGTTTTACTATATGGCTGAGCAAGTTCCCGAGGATTCCATCCAGGCAGGGGGTTCCTCCAGGGCTTTCTCCAGGCAGGCCGGCATGGCTGTCAGGGAGGCCATCAGGGGCTCCAAACCGTATTCCAGGCCCGGGCCTAAGCAGGGATCAGGGTCAGACAAGGACACATTGCGTCACCAGAAGGCGCTTGAAAAGCAATTCTCCAAGGCCCAGCACCAAGCACAATCCTCCCAATCAGTGTCTCCTGAGGAACCCGCCATGGAGGTTCCTCCGGCCCAGCCAAGGCCTGTTTCAGACAGCGAGGATGAGGGCCGGAAGTTTTCCCCTACGGCTTCCATGTCTAGGACAGTATCACCAGGGCCTTCGATGATAGATCAGGCTGATCTTTTTGCTTGCCCTTCGGATCTGGAGGAAGGCCCTGCCCCGGGTCCCTTGGCCCCTCAACATCTGCTTCCCAGGCTCAAACCCAGGGCTCGCCCCATGGAGGATCTTGGGCCTGACCTTTCAGTGGAGATGCAGGAAGTTATTAACAGCCATTTTCCAGGGCATCAAAGCGGGCATGTTGCACAAGGGCAAACGCACCCGCAAGGCTAAGCATCTAGAGCCCCAGTCAGTTCCAGTGGTCGCATCTCCTCCACGTCCCTTTCATTCCCCCCATTCCTCTTCGGGTTCCGAGGATTCGGACTGGGATGA